CTTTCCTATTAGGATCGCATTTATTTTGTTCATTTACAGGTAATAATAAATACTTCCATTTCAGATATTTTGCATACTTTTCTTAATCCAATTTCCAATATTGCAGTGACCTAGATGTAAGCGGGTTCGCGATCAAAGTTAATATGCTTTTTATATTGCCTAGTTCCCAAACTCATTCATTTTACATTTATTTTAATAGCTGAACTTTTCCTACATCTCCCGAAACGAAATATCACACCAGCTCTTCTTAAAGTTTGTATGTTATAGTACAAGCGATTGATTAAATTATGCAACTTATCTCAATTTGCTTTAGCTAATCAACTAGCATTTAATGTAATTGGAGTATTCTGTCAGCACAATTGTATATTCAATTTTGCTTTTAGATTATCTGCTAACTGTATCCATCTTTTTACCGACGACATAATCGCGACTTAATTACCTACCTCCATATCTGCGATATAAGTTGAGGAAGCCGGACATCATTACTTTGGAAAGCAGGAGTTTGTGGGTTGGACATATTCTGGAAACCAAAGTAGGATTAGCATGGCGATGTTCTTGTTTGATCGTGTTTGATTGACTTATTGTCATACGGCCCCGATAACTCTGTGAGGAACTTTCCTATTTATTGATAGAAATCGGCATAGCTAGAAATAAATAATTTATGAATAACTGAAAACAAGAAATGTGATCCAATGGAATCTTAATTCCTTTTTGAACATTATTTTGATATTTGAATGTGACATCCCACGATTTGTTTGGCTTTTTCGTGATTTCATTAGGTGCTTTCAGATGAGTCAAGTTGATGCATTAAAAGAATACGAATGCAAATACAATGAATAAATAAGCTAGTTTTGTCGAATATATGAAGGTCAAAATGATGTGAGTCTTGGTATGGTCGCTGTCTCCTTTCGATTTATAGATGTAAGTTGACTTCTTTGTCACAACTTGATCTTGTTGTCAGAGCGACTTAGTTAGACACATTGTCCAAAGTCCTCTGCCATAGTAGTTATTATAATTTCCAGCATCAGATTGTGGACTTGATCCATTCTCAGATGTTTCGCTGAGCAGACAACTTGTCTCTGACCATTTGTAGCTTGGTACTGAGACTGATAAGACTCACTGATGATGCCGACGACGGTGCCGGCCAAACGCTTTACAATGTACCAAGTCCATTGTCTGATGTTAAGAATTATGTAACTACTATAGCTGAGTTCTTCGGACAAGGTGCGTCCAACTAAGTCACCCTGATAACAAGACCAAGTTGCGAAAACGAGGTCAACCCACTTCTGAACACATTTTTAATCCTGCATATTTTAGGTCTGTAGAAATATGTGCGCTATGTGTATACAATATTAGGGTCTTGGTTGGCTTATTAGAGCACAAGCTAGACTCCGGATCAATTAGAGCTCTTACAGAATTTCGGCTTTTTAGACAACCGAAACGTTAGCCTCAGGAATCTGGATGAGGACATGTTTCCTTCCTTGAATGCCTCATGGTTGTTTTTCCTAACTTTATTTCTTAATTTTGATATATTATTAACGATTCCTTCTAATGGATAATATTTATATATAGGAATTTTTTCCTATATTCCTAACTTGATTCTATTAGTTTGCATCTAATGGACGCAAACTTCTTTTTATTAATCATTTCATGAGTCCCACTTTAACTTAAATATGATTAAAATGAAATTAAGAGGACAACATATATATTCATTAATTTCCTATGCACATTTGTATCCTGTGTTTCTTTTTTTATCAACCGGGAAATCCAAAATTCCTTACTTGTTGTGAATATCACTATTTTTGGGCTTCTATTTTGGTCAAAAGTCTCAATTCGATCTATGGCAGTGATATGACCTTGTTTTCACAACTTGGTCGTTTTATCAGAGCGATTGAGGCGAACACGTCTTATCCGGATTTCTCTGTTATGGTAGTAATTGTAACTCCTAAGGTCGGACGATGGAATTTTGTATATTCCCAAACGTTTCACCGACATTGTCAATGAGTCTTGCCATTTTTAGCATCAAGTTACAATTCGTCAGAGACAAGAGAAGCTAATCCCCTTACCAACTTTCTGCTGTATTATCACTCCTGTCCTGATAGATCTGCCTACGCCCTGTGATCGTGTCTTACTCCCTCACTTTCACAACTTCTTGCCTATATTAGACTTCTCTAGATATGTAAGGCGTTATTTTACCTGCTTCTCTCTCTATTTTCTGATCCGACTCGGAATTCTGATTCGATTCTTTTTCTTGGCACCGGAGATTTATTTCCTATCTTATTGGCTGAACAATTTCATTCGGTTCTAGCAATAATATGCGCTTTATTTAAGACCCTATTTCTCGTGATCTGCCACAAGCCTTCGATAGTGCATATACGGTAATCACAATGAGTTCTGATCCACAAGCTTGCAGATAGCATACATCGTCTCCATGTGCCTTCTTTATGATTTAACCATTGTTGCTTGAGCAAACTGTGAATGTCTATCTCGGATCGCCTACTGTACTTCGAGTGAATTTATAGCCAATTTCGCCACAGCCATAATGTCGAATTCCTTGTCTATGACGGTGCTTGGTGCTGAGAATCACTGACGATGCCGGCAAAACGTCTGAGGTTGTACCAATTCCAATGTCCTACGCTGGAAATTATATAACTACAGTAAGAGAGAACTTCTGACAAGCTGCGTATAACTAAGTCACTCTGTCGATACGACAAAGTTGTATAAAGGAGGCTTAACCACTTGGTTACTTGCTATCTATCGTGATCTCATAATTCGATCTTTTATTTTTCTACAGACCGCAATTTCCTTGCATAGCAATGTACTCGTCCATACATCAGAACAATAACTTGTGAACTAGGATCTTCTTAAATTAGCTGAACCTTAAAATACGTCATGTAGTTATCCGTTAAAACAGGTGTTAATTCCCTAACTAAACCTTATTCTTGCGCATATAATTTATTATCATGTGCAAAATAAGCACTTCATTGTTATGTTCGTCAATCTCATGATTGACTCTACTTGCCTTTTTTCTTGTTATGATCTCTGCTTGCTAATCTGATGTCAATCCTAAACCCTGTAAGGCTTTATTTACCGAAACTATATCAACTTACAAGTAAGCTTCCTTGTTCTTTCACTTGCCCACTATCTAAATTAATAAAACTATATATTTTTTTACTGAAGACAGCGAAAATCCTAAGATTTGCTTAATTTTACTGAAAATAGCGATATCGACAATCTATTCAGAAAAGTAATGTATAATAAGATGATGATGGACCATTGAATTTTCCCATAATTATATGACTGTCTCATCTTGCTGTCTAAAAGCTATTCTTATCCAAAGTGCACAGTCTAAACCTCGCCTCATCACCACTCAGCGGGATTAGAATCAACATATTACAATGCATAATTTCAACACATTATCACGCTACACTGTCACAAATCCATCTGGGTCACAGGGCAATAATGAATTTCATGGAAGTTGACAAGTTGAGTTGCCTTCTTTCGATTGGCGGAACACCCTCTCTTTCCCTCAACCTTTCGATCAAGCACAAATAATTCTTACTTTCATATTTTCTACTATCATTCATCACACTTAATATATTCCCTAATTATTAATTTCTATATCCTCTTATCTTGAGTTTATATCAGCCAAGTTATTTTGAGTAGATTTTTAAGACCACCAATAAATCAGTTGTATGAGCTGTGTTCATCTTATTTCGTTTAAGACGATGAAGGACTGGTAATTTAATTTTCCCCACAATGATATTAGTAGGCATAACATCTCCATTGAACTTCACATAGCTTTGCTTTCCCAAAAAGTTAATGTGTCGATATTATACACTGCCTTGACATGGTTCGACTCCTACTGAGGGTGCTGATAAGACCTAGGCAAGGTCGAAACTTCAGTCTATCCTGTATGAGAATACCTTTGAGAAAGAAATGTTATGTAAAATTCAATGGAAACGTCATGTCTACCCGCACCATTCTGGGAAAATTCAGCTACCGGTTCTTATTCACCTTATGCGAAATAGTATGAACACAGCTCATATATCTAATCTAATTTTAGTCTCGAAATTATTATGGTATATATGAAGTGTGGGTTTCGATGAATTTCTTGAGATAACATTATTCTTAGGACTTTCATTTCGTATGAAAGTGTGTAAAGAAGTGTTTCGAACGTCGATCTCACCAGAAGAGGACGGTTGAATCTAATTTTACTACAGTCCTTTGGCTTTTATACGAAGTTGAGATTGATGCAGTCTTCGAGATTTCCTCCCTCTTTTCAGTTGAGAACGGACTCATCTTTTGTCCATTATATGATGAACATCAGAGCTAGGACTCATTTCTGTAAAATTTTTAAATTAACACTAGGGTCGACCTTCGTATCTCTTCTTCATACACTTATGAAATAAAAGTTCCAACTAATGATTATCCTATGGCTACAACTAAACGCAAGATAAGAGAGTCTATTGAAATTAATAGATTAATAAATGCATTAAATGTAAGGAATGGTGGTAGAAGGTTGACTTAGAATTACTTATGCTTTATTGCAAGATTGAAGGAGGAGGGTGCTGCGACCTTGGGTCAAACGTTAAGCGTGACTTTCATAGTCCGTCAAGTCCTTTCCACATCACTATATTCTTATACCGTGGTACTGTAGCATAATGCTAAATTGTTTTGTTCATTCACTCCTCTTCCCGGGTTTGAGTCTTGCTGGATTTTCTGATGAGACCTATGCATTCCCGAAACTGCCGCCGGAAATATCTTTTCGGAGTTAAAGTTACGTGTACTTAGTTGAAAACCTGTGGAAATGTCAACCGCCAATCTTTTATCTTATATAAGGTCCTCTGTTATTCTTAAAAATCTGCTTTTATACAAATATCGTTATAAAATGCGATATGGTTGAGGCTGGGATTCTCTTGGTATTCACTTTTGCCCTCTGTCCCAATGAAACCAGTAGTAATATGGTTCGGTACTAATATACCTAAAATAAATGTTTCAATACCCTGATTCGATTTCCGTTGAGAGTGCTGGTGAGAGATACGCATTCGAAACTGCAGACTATACAGGATGATAATATCTTTTAGTATACAAAGACAGATGAAATTCAGTGGCATATCATTATGGGCTAATTCAGTTATGGTTCTTTCTTCATCTTCTACGACCTGGGTGAATATAGTCTATAATTGGAATATTTGTATCGCCAAAATTAGAATAAATTTTATCGACAGAAGTGACCTGTAATAATCTGCATTTCTTGCTGGTCGCATTCTTTGATTAATTATTGTATTAATCTGGGACAATACAAAATCGTTTTTATAGCTTATCATATCTAGAATTTACTTAAAGATTTGAAAAAAGTTTCCGTTGTCTACTCCTAACCAGGACCCGCCCTCGACAGACCTTTGCCGGATTGCTTCTCCGCACTAGTCCAGATACAGCTTCTGCCATCACTATGGTTATTACTCAGATTTCCTCGAATGATATGGAGACTAGCTGTCACGCTTTGGCGCAAATCGATGCCGTTATTCAAGGTTAAATCTTTTCATTGATTTCCTTAAGTCTCTTGAGGAATTACTAGACGCCTATTTTCTTCTTTGATCCTTGCTATATTATTTTAAAGATTTTTGCTGTTGCTATGATTTTCATCTTCCCTATTCGTATCTTTTTTCTTCATTAATTAGATGATAAATGGGATTTGCTGACCAGCCACGTCAATCAGTTTCTGATGCTCGTCACAATTCAGCTGAAGCAAGTCGTGACACGATACTTCAGTGATCCTACCACACCTCCGGAACAACTGAGTCTTCTAATCAAAGCTCTTCTTGCCACCACACACTCGGTACTAAACCAAAATATATCTTTTTTTATGTTTTTTTTTTAATTTTGCACATCTATTCTTCACTCAACATTTACTTTTAACAATCCTTTTCACCTTATGTGCATTTATTGGAGATTTGCATATGACACTTTTGGAAGCCCTTTCTTTTCCTTATGATATATGAATCATGGCTTTCTTTTATAAATCACTATCTCATTATGATCATAAAGATTAGTTAATTAAGTAATAACCAAATTAATCTGACTTTGAAAAAATCATTCACGGCATTTCTTCATTGTCTTCACCATGTAGACACATATAGAACTCAAGGGTATTATATAGCACTGCCAAGCATACGCATATCTGATGCAAGGATTTATTTGCTTGCTCTTTAGAGGTTTTAAAAAAAAGTCTTGCCTTCCTTGACTTGTTCGTCGTTTTATAAAGGAGTTGTTTAAAAATATCAAATAAAATTTTTTCATCATATATATATGAAGACACAGATAGTATGGTCTTCTGTTTGGTCACAGTTTCCTTTAGCTTTATTCCATTGGTGCGACCTTGTTTTCGCAACTTGGTCGGAGTCCCAGAGAGAACTTATGTGACGCACATGGTTTTGTATCCTCTGCCATAGTAGTCTTGATTTTCTGCCTCGGACCATTGACTTAGTGCATTCTCAAACGTTTTACCTGCATCGTAGTCGGAATCATCATGAGAGGCGCGATCGTTAGCACAGAGTTACAACTTATCGGTGGCAATTGAAGGCAATCGCCTTGACCAATTTTCTGTTCAACCACTGTGGCATCACTCATAGCTCCTGTTTCTCGTTCTACCTTCTATTGCTGTATCTCTTTCTTTAAATGTAGGTTGGAGCCCTGCAAACGGCATCAAGTATCGATGGTGAAGATGATTACGCTTGAGTAAACCCACTTATATCGACGCACTCTTAGACGACATTGGATGAAACTAAACCGCATAATTGTGCTATTAGGTATATGGTCCATATGAAGTAGGGTTGAGAGAAAGTGATGGGGCAGATGAGCAGAAAATTGTTCAAGGGGATTGATTGCCTTAACTTGTCAATGATAAGTAGTAGCTGTGCAAACGATAGCACCTATCGCTGACAATGCTGGCGAAACGTTTTGAATATACCAAGTCAACTATTCGAAGCTGTGGATCATGAATACTATGACAAGACACAGGGCTACGTATGTTCCACAAGTTCCCACTGACTCTCCGACAAAATAATGAAAACAAGGTCTAGCCAACACTAAAATTTTTCTAATCTCTGAGATAATTCAGATAGTGTTTGGTTTAATCAAAATAATTCATTCATTATTTTACATTATTAAGTATGTGGAAAAGCTGGGTTCTGAAAAATCTATTATTTTGCAACCCATAGTATTTTATGGGCCTATCGCCGTGATCGTTCGTCCTGTGGGTATTCAAATGATTAGGCTATATAAATTTATAAATAAATGCTTATAAAAAACAGTTTATTCGCTTTTTAGACGTTCGTGTATTATATGAATGTTTATTTATTACTTAATTTTTGTTAATTGGGTTTGTTTTCTTAATTTAGTTGTTTTCTCGGTCTCAACTGGCTAAAGAGGCTTCAAGAGAGACATTGAGGGAGCTATTTTACAATATGCTTACTTTAATGCATGATGGTAGAACTGCTGAGATGATCGACGGTTGCCAAGTCATCAATACTATCAATGTCCTTTGTGGGCGGATCCTAGAGCAATCGAATTGCACTCGGATTCTCAGGTTGAATTTTTGTTCTTTAATCGCTATTTCACTTCCCTTTTATTTTAAATTATCCTTTTTTAGTTTAAGCTGTATTTTCGTAGATGGTTGTTCTGACAAAATATTTCTCTGAATGGATTTATCTTGACCTTAAAGGACTCGCTTTCATTCCCTTTGCATTTTTAACTTACTATTGGCTAGTCTCAATAGTTTTTGCTTAATAAGGCGTA